CTCTTAAATATCTCTTTACATCTTGCAAGGTATTGAAAGTGTCCTTGTGCACATGCTAGTTGTCATTTTGGATAACTTTCTTTGTCTTAATTGTTAATGCCTAAATAAAGATACAAAGTAAATGAACATCTTAATTTTTCTGTTACCGTATGGCAATCATGGCAACAAACACACATCGTCGCAAGCCACAGGTTTTGTTTCGTTTGTGTAATTTAGAATGGACACAAAACCTGTGGCTTGCGACGGGGCGCCCCCTTTATTTTGCTGTAGTAAATTTTCATTTACCCCCCCCCCCCCTCCCAAACACATACACACACTTTTTGTTGGTGTAAGGTGTCGAGAACTGGTAAATTCCAGGATTTGAACAGCTAGTTAATTAGGGGTTTTTTTTAAGTCATATATGGCGTAGTTTTGACTAAGTTCAAATAACCAAAATTAAAAATATCTCTCTATTTGATTTATTACTTTATATAAAGATAGGACTTTTCTGTAAATTACACAATTTAAATCAACTGCATTTCAAAGATATCATAAGATTAAAACAATAACCGATTTATTTACCGACTCCAAATTTAAATACAAGACACATTTAAAGTCAATTTAATTATAGAAACGTGAGGTTATTCGAGTTCAAAATCGGTGAAATTTTTAATTTAAACGTAAATAACATTATATCAGATACGCCATATATGGCTTTAAATTTGCTCGTCAGATTATTATGGGAAGTTGCACCCCCCCCCCCCCAATTTTTTGGACATATGAGTTTTTTTTGTCAGATTTTTTTGGGAGGTAAGCCCCCCTCCCTACTTTTGAAACCGTTGCTACGGGCCTGTGATTTATGTTTTTAGTGTCAAGTTATAATAATCAGGAAAGTTTCATCAACATCGGTGACCCACCAATGCGTGCCTTGTGCCCAAAAAGCTGAATTGCTCTTAATTTTTTTTTAATCACTATATATAACGAATATTTTTTTGAAATTGAGGTGGAGTAGATGAAAATTGGAGGAAGGTCACTTTGTAACAAAATATCAAACTGTTAATGATAACATTCTCAAAATCCAATCTGATCAAAATCAGGTGGAGCCATAAAACTTAGATGAGCTAACTTTTTAACTCGGTCTCACTTTTACAAAAGGAATACCAGGCCCGTAGGAAGCAATTTCAGTTGGGGGGGGGGGGCACAGCCAAACATTTTCAGTTGGGGGGAGGGCAATATCAACTACCAAAATTCCTTGACAAGCAAAAAAAAGGGGTGGGGGGAAGGTCATCAGCCGTTTTATTGAGGGGGCACAAGCATATATATAATAGCTAAGTTTTCTATAGTATTCTATATATTGGCAAAATTATTGCCCCCCCCCCCCCCCCGTGAGTTTAAGCTCGTCTAAGTTTTATTGCCCCGCAGCCAGATCGTATTTTAAAATTACAATCATAATGTACATGATGTATTTTGGTATCATTCCCTTTCAATGCATTCAGGATTACCAACACAGGGGCGGATTTAGGATTTCCTCTTGGGGAGAGAGAGATGCGTCGTGGGGTTTTTTTTCGCATAAAAAAAAAGATGCTTCGTCTTAAATTCTTCAATCTTCCCAAGTCAAGGGTTTCTGATTCACTCCGCTCCACATAAATGCCATTAAATGAAGGAGAGGAGTGGATCAGAAATCCTTGACTTAATTGGGAAGATGATTTCTTGAGCATTTTACTCGTACTACAATGATTTAAATCGATTTTCGCTAGATGAATAAATATATAAGAAAGGCTCAAATTTTGAAAATATCATTAATGCATTCGATGCGCGCAATTTGATCAATCAATTGATGACCGAGCGCAATAATTCAATGGAAAACAATAACCCAGTTGACTAAACAGTGCATCGTAGTATCTTCGCTTAAATTATTGCGTGTATCAATTCAAGTATAATACATATATACAACAATGTAATGTTGCAATCTTCAATTTACATTCTTCTAGGGTAATATAGTGACATCTTCAATACCACATACATGTAATTCAAAATGAAATACTGATCTTTGAAATTGAATTATTGTTTTTTAAAAAAGAATTGAGGCCCACATTATTTGCCCTAAATATACTAGTATTGAGAGGTGGTGGATGACAAGGAAAAAAAATTCTCAGAAAAGGATCGACCAAGTTCAGTGGAACTCTCATAGAGGCCGTTAGAGATTTTATGTTTAGAAACAACTTGTGCTGACCCAGTCAAAATACAAGAAAATAACAAAATGTTCACAACCATGTTAAGGGGTATGAATTTCTTTTCTGCGTGCTTGTGTGTCGGGGTCAGAAAAGGGGGTGGGGTGGGGGTGGGGCGTTAAGAAGCAGACAATCCAATCCTGGAAATCGTCCATTTTTTAGGGGATTTAATGCAATGTTTAGTTTGTGTACATATACTATTTTTGAATATTTTTCCTAGACAACCCCACCCGGATCCACAATACTTTTTATTACTAGCATGTATTTGAAAGTTGCTATGTAGACTACAAAAACTGACGTGTCCATCGGGTAAGATGTTAATTAAAGTTGCAATTTAATATCTCTATATCTTGCACACCAGAGTTCGAATTCCATGGTATTTTTAATCTGCCTTTACATCTATAACAATATTGAATGATTTGAAATCTACAGTTTACTACTCAATTTGTAATAAAATCAAGCATTCTAGACATTCGCAGGGGTAATAAGGAAGCATACAAAATATTCTACCTGGACTTAATCAGTGCTACATTATGACGTCATAGTAGGCGAGATGACGTCAATTTTAGAATAAAAGTTTTCGTAATATTCGTATTTAGAGATGTAATTTAACTCTAGAAAATGAATAGAAACGTGTAAACATTAACAAAAATAAAATGTTTTTATTTTGTTATGCTGTATCTGTCATTTTGATTAAAATCTACCACCGATGACGTCATATGTGTACTTCAAGTAACTTGGGAATTGATCATGTCGTGTAAAGAGAATTTGGCTAAGACGGCATGTACAAAGATACGTAAAATGGAGTTTAAAAGCAAATATCCTGAATATTTTGTGAAATTCATATGGAGTTCAGTTACTGAAACAGGTATGCTAATTTATTTTCATCGATTGTATTTTCTTCGAAGACAGTCAGCTATATACGTATCCCGGTCGGCCTTTCCTCTGTCGATCATTTGTGACAAAAATAATGCAGCAGAACAACAATAAGCTGTATATTTCAAAACGTAAGATTTGTACAGATGGAAAGTTTGCCTCCTAAAATACTTGGAAAGTGCTGCTAGAATCCCGAGTTATGCATGGTTTTACGAAAAATCTCGGTTTATATACATGTATAAAATTCAAAACATCGGGTAAGGTTTCGTGCGAATGTGTGGAATTATTATTTTACTGACGGGACAGTGGGATTCTAGCAGCACTTTTTAGGCAAAATAGATGTTTTCCAACTATATTATTTACTCAAAGAAATTATTACACTTCGGGGTATTGTTGTTCTGTTAGCTTTTTTACTAAGGAAAATTTCGCTATTAATAGAAGTCACGTGATGCCGTGGTGGTGGTGCACGTCTTTGCGTTAGACACTCTTTTATCTTTATGCGATAGATAATAATAGTTTACATTTATCAGCGGTTTTGGTAAATTATCAAACTTAATTTTCTTTAAAAAGTCTAAATTTCCAGAGAATTGACTTATATGCTTCCTTAACATACCCGCGTTTCATTTGGACCAGATGAAATAATTGAACACTTAAATTTGCATGTACGTTTCCAATTTAAGTAAGAAACACAGATTTCTATTCACATACATTTCATTGTCTTCGAACATCTTTCCTTGAAGTAAATAACAGGTACTTTATGTTAAAAATTAAATTGATCAACTCCATGAACATTTTCATCTTGATACTTTCCTCACAGACCAAAACTGTAGGAGGAGTAGTCTTTTAAAAGAATTGTACAAAAATTTCGATTTTAGTAACCACGGCAACATCATTCATCAAAAACCGATACACAGAATTATATCTCTCTGTGTAGTCTATTTGTGTGCCAAGTTATACTGAAATCAGATCAAAACCGTAGGAGGAGTAGCATTTGGAAAGTATTTCACACAAATGTCTATTTTTAGTAACCATGGCAACACCGTTCATCGAAATCAAAATCAATATATAGAATTAGGTATCTTAGTGTAGTCTACTTGTGTGCCAAGTTATATTGAAGTCAGACCAAAACTGTAGGTGTTGCGTTTTGAAATTATTTCACAGAAATTTCCATTTTTAGTAACCATGGCAACATCGTTCATCGAAATCAAAAAATGATAAGTAGAATTTTGCATCTTAGTGTAGTCTATTTGTGTGCCAAGTTATATTCAAATCAAACCAAAATGGTAGGAGGAGTAGCATTTTGAATGTATTTCAAAGAAATTTCTATTTTTAGTAACCATGGCAACACCCTTCATTAAAGTGATACAGTTGACCTTCAGTATTTCAAACAATGGCATCTGGAATACCATGGATATGTCGAAAAGATTTGGAAGTCCCAGCTACTTATTCTTTAAGTATTTTACCCTCGATATCTCGAATCCTTGGATATCTCAAAGTTTTTTCTTGGTCCCATCGAGTTCGAAATAAAGAGGTTTGATTGTTTATATATTTATGTATCGTAGTAGTTTACTTGTGTGCCAAGTTATATTGAAATCAGATCAAAAATGTAGGAGGAGTGGCGTTTTGAAAACTTGTTTACAGACAGACAGACAGACGAACAAATTACTATTGCAAATGCTCTTTTTTTCTCTGACCAGTAGAGCTAACTAGTTTATTCTAAATTGGACATTCTATGTACACAAATAGGTACTTTCTAGTATTTAAAATCAATCTCATGTTTTTCTATTTATGTTATATGTACAAGAATTTCTCCAATTCTCTTTCAATTTCTCTCCCGTATCCCCAACTCCCTCTCCAATATGTTCAACATCATTGAAAAGGAAGGCTAAAAGGCCACATAAGAAACAAGAGGACTCAGCTGGATATAGATTTATTGACAGATTGGGTACATATTGCTGGTAAGATATCATCATAATCTGACAATACCCTGTGTCATAATATAGTCAAATTCCGACACAATTTATCATTAACAGTCACCCTAAAACTAAGTCATCCGTTATCATCATAACAAGCAGATTCAGCACAACAGACCTATGTAAAATGTCCTCCAAGAAGTTATAACTGGTGACTCTTAGATCTTGTTGTGACAAAACAGAATATATATATTAAGTAAACAAATATGACTAGGCTGAATGTCCGTGATCTATGGATATACACATAATATGTATAAAGATGTGTAGCTAATTCATATTGATAATTTATAGCCTGTGGCAAACTACTCGCAAGCAACAACATGCTTTATAAAGTATAACAAATCACAATTAATTCCAACATATCATACATATGTCTGTAACCATTCCATTTTTACCCTCTCACACAATAAAATACTGTTCCATATGTGGACACATGCTTAGTACACAGGATCCTATAGTCCTAATATTTTGATATTTTCATGACTAAATTCTAAAACCTGGTCCCAGATTCTTGTCTAAATATCTTTGATATTAAATATGCTAATTACTAGAATTAATGAACTATAAACAATGGACTGATATTGTCAAAGAAATTCTTATATAATGAGGGTGCATATCAACAAAAAATGTGTGAATTATCAAATACTCAAAAATATTACATGTACTTTAAAAAAATCCTAGCACCAACATTTTGCCGAGGGATGATCTTATTCGTACTGGGTTTGGGACTACACATTTGATTACTGACAATTGATAAGTATATGAGGTAAATATGGAGACAAACCCAGAGACAGATAGACAAAGTGTCAATTTCCTACTGCTTAGGGTAAGATTCAAACATACGACAACCATCCACGTCTATACCACCACTAGCCCAACAGAGAAATAATTAAATAATTATTGATCAATTACATACCATTTGATGGTTTAAGTTGTATCTTAAATATTGAATTTAAACAATATATATATACATGAAATTAATTCATTAATTCAACAACAAAAATTAAAATTACTCTTTATAAAAACGTGTTTCATAATGAAGCCTCTACATGTATATGGATGTACAGTTACTTTATAAAGCATCACACTGTGTTGGATTAATTTTTACTGAAACAATATATCAATGCATTGATATCTGTCATGGGTTTTATGACTTACATGAAATAGAAATAATTGTCTGATACCGTGATAATAAAATCTGGCAACCTATTCTAGACACGGCAACATAAGTCTGCGACACACTGGGGGGGGGGGGGGGGGGGGGGGGGGGTAAATACACTGTAAAATAAGCTCACTAGTCTACACAATGATTATCTAGTGCCGAGTACATTCTTATAGTCAATCATAACTTGATTATCACAAGACTTTAGAGCTGGTATGCTGCACTTCAAAAATGTGCCAATACCAAAAAAAAAAAATTTTAAATTGTGAAAGACAACCTAAATGTGAAACAAACTGATGATGTGTAAACCAAGACTGCTGCTTTGAAATGATAACATGTAGCACTGAGTGAAAATGAAACTAGCCTGTGCCCATAACCAAAGCCCGATATCCTACACACTTTCTCCTTTAAATTGGTGACATAGTTGTCTTCTGTCTTGTATTATTTCTGATTTATAACTGACATGATCTGTATATATACACTAAAAAGAGAAGTCTGGTCATTGTTTTCCCTGCTGCTTCCATCACTCTTGTTTCCTGTAGGATCACACTGACGTTCCACTATCACTCGGAGATTTGGCCTGTCATAATTAATACAAAAAAAATTATTTTACATTAATCATCTGCCTAAAGTGCCTTGTACTGTTTTGTTTCTGGACAAAATTATATGAAATCATTTTATAAAATACAGTACTGAAAAATTCAAATTTTTCCTTTCATTCACACCAATACCGATAAAGAAAAATAAAAACCATGCGGTGTGTTTTTTTTTCCAAGGCTTAACATTTTCACAAATCATACAATCTGTCTACAAAGCCTACTAAGCCTTTAATATATCATGCACAGATAAAGCATGCACTCCATTCCAAACCAGAATTAACAGTTCATGTGTTCAGTCCATTTACCTCAACTTTTATTGTCATCAAAGAACTGTAGAACGAGACAAACACAGCTTTAGCATTGATCTCGGATTCATTATCATCAGTATTAAGACTCGATTATTTGCTCATGGGAAGAGGTGGTGGATGGCAGATTCAAAGTATAGATTTCATCTTCTTGCATTAAATATGAAGAATAGGTTCAAATGTGTGTGCGGATTTTTTTCTACCTGGGTACAAGTGTTAAACTGTATGAAATTTTCATTGGAAGTGGTTTCATTTTTATGTGCTTAAATTTTAACATAATCTTTAAATGTAGAGTTTAAAACACAGACCATGAATTTATCGCACCACCATGAACAAAACTGCAACCCCCCAAAAATCTGTAGTTGGTTGAATCTT